CTGTTACATGCCAGTATGGCGGGTTGCATAAGCACCGGTTCGCAGGCGCTGTCAGGAGTGCGCAGGATTTCGCGCATCGCCGCTGAACCGCGAGCCTCCCCGTGGAACCGCTGGGGGATGCGCGAAATCCTGCGCGCTCGTGCGCGCTCCCAACAGCACCTGCGAGCCAACACGTATGCAACCTGCTATACTGGCATGTAAGAGCTGGGACACTTGGTATCTAACCCTGGTCTAACCGCCATGGGATGGGACGAGGGGTGGACCACTTGGAAATTTCATGTACACACTAAAAATATTTCTAAAATTCTAGATACACCAAAAACTGTAGTACCACACATGCGTCACACATGTACAGTGTGTGTCTCCAGAGTGGGGCTGGGTGCCCAACCCTGCACTTTAATCCGAGAACCGATCGGGGATGATCGTCCTGTTTGCAAAACGGCTCTGATGTTGGGCTTATCTTTACAATTCTGTTCGGAAACGACTGTCGGGGCCGCCTTTGTGTTCTGTCGCGCACCGGGTTCCGGTTCCGGCCCGGCCCGGCCCGGGGCCGCGGGGGTGGTCGGTGACGGCGATGGCGTGAGCGAGGTGTCAAGGTGGTGCCGCCCCGGCCGCGCCGCCACCAACGACCTTGGACCTTGGGCCGGGACCCTCGGCGGGCGCGCAGCCGCGCCGTGGCGTTTGTCTGCCGGGCCGGAGTTGATCCGGGTGACTTTGCCTCCAATAATGAGGTGGCGCCTGCAGTGCGACGCCGGGCCAGGAAGGCCAGGAGGCCAGGAGGGGCCCACCGGCCCACCCTGTGGTGCATGTCAGCTGACGCTTTGCACGCCGGGTCGCGGGACTTCCCGGCGGCGTGCAGCGCCCGGGAAGGGCAGCCCCTGGCTCTGGGGTGGTTTTGTGGAGGGCCTTGTAGGGCCATACACTCACACACACACACACTCCTACATACCCATACATAGGGCAGCCCCTGGCTCTGGGGTGGTTTTAGGGAGGGCGCCCGCGGGCCACCCCGCCCCGCCCCGCCCCGTCCTCGCCCCACGGGGGCGGCGCCAGGCCGCCCGGGGCTCAGGGTGGTGCGCGACCACGCGAGCGGCGCCGTAAATGACGCTGCAGTTGTACTAAACGCGACTGAATGCAGCGCGCGGAGCCGGCCGTCCGTTTTGTAGCCCGGACGGCCAAATGGGTGGAGATTATCGGGGTAAAAGAAGGACTGCTCAAAATCGCGCGCTGATGGAACTAGGGATAGTCCAGAAAAAGCGCGTTGACTGACTCTTTGTCTGGTTTGTACCGCCACATATTTGTACTGTCGAGGAACAGGTTTAGTATAACGGTCAAATAAAGGTGTCGGCGGCGGTGGGTGTTGTTTCGGCCGAGCGCTAACTAAATGTCCCCCGTGCACTGGTGGCGGTGGACCTCAGCAGAGCCGGGCTGCTGCAGGGACAGCTGTGCGGCCCCACCCCGTGCCTCCCCGCCCCCGGGGCCACAGCTGGCGGAGCGCTCGCTGCGGCCCCACCCGGCCCCGGCAGGGCAGGCCTCAGAGCACGGGGCGCGGCGCGCAGCTGGGCGCAGCTGTGCCAGCCCGGCCGGCCTGTGCGCGGCTGGGGCGCCCATTAAGGAGGGCCGCTGCGCCCCACCGCCCCGCCCCGCCTCGGCCCACCCCACCCCGCCGCACTCCGCCGCGCCCCGCCCGACTCGTCATTCCGTTATTGCGCTAGTCGCACCTGACGCGCGGGTGGGCCCAGCCGCTGGGCTCCCACCCCACCCTGCCCCCCGGGTGGGGCAAACTTTGTCATGGCAGCCCCCTCAGGCGGCCGCCCCCGGCCCCGTCAGCAGGACCGCCCTGGAACTTCTCACACACTCCCCGCCCCGCCGTGCTGCCCGCCGCGCCCCGCTGTAGTCTGTGATCCAATGAGTTGTGCGTGTGCTTGCAGGTGTCGGCATGGCCCGCCCCCAGCCCCCCTCCCTCTGAGCGCCGCCCGGGGCCATGGACAAGCACGTGATTAAGGAGGAGTTCGGTGGGGAAGTGGGGCCCTCGGAGGCCCTCGGGACGCAGGGGGGGAAGGAGCTTGGGGGCCCGCAGGGGCGCGGACAGCTCAACAGGATACGACGGAAAGGTAAGCATACACGGGGAGAGGGGATGGGGAGGGGCGAGGGGCTCATCGCGCGAGGGCTTAGCTCGCCCGCCCGCCCCGCCGCGCTTCTCCCCCCTGGACTGCCCAGCCCAGCAGCCTGCATATCTCGCTGGGACAGCTGTTTGTGCAGATCGAACAGGGCCCAGCCTGCTCAGCGCACGGGTCCGCTTCGGCAGAGGGCTTCGGCTACGCGTGCGAGTGAGTGACGAGGCACACTGAGCCCCTCTCTCCCTCTCTCTCCCTCTCTCTCTCGCACCTGTCGCTGCTCCGGACGCTCCCGGAGCGCGGGGCGCCGG